ATTAACTGTCAGAATGTTAGAACTGTGTAGGCTTCTAGAGAAGCTCAGCTATAAAAGACAGATTTTCCTGGCTGGAGCAAGTTTCAACACCTTGACAGTGAGAAGGAAGCAACAGACGCAGCAGTCTTCAAATAACCTGCTTTTTCAGACAGAATTTTTGGGGGATCCTGATGAGGTTTGGAAATCAGAATTTTATTTTTGAACATTCCCATGGTTTTAAGACTAAGGATACTTACTGATTTGGGGCAATAAGAACAGAGATCAGATTGAATTCTGACTCAGACCTCTCCATTATGCTTGAAAATCAGGAACTGTGAATAAGAATAAATTTGAAAAAAAAAAGTGATAATTTTTGAATCATCAAATATGTAGATTAAAAGGATTCTCATGACATGTATTTTAAATAAAAGTAGTGATTTTTATTTTGTATTTACTTTTTGGCTGTAGATGTTGTAACTGCATCTTTCTCTTGCAGGATTGAGTCCGTGCTGCTGCACATGCCCCAGCCTGTGAATCCAGAGCTCAGTGCAGAGCCCATCACTGGACTGAGGGTCAGGCTCAACCAATTCCGAGGTGAGTGTCAGCCCATTGGCAGAACTCCCCTATCTGTTTTTACTTGTTAGTATCACATGGGTGCTATTTTACCCTTCATCAAATGTTGGACTTCTTTTCAGAAGTACGTGAATGATATGACTCTGCAACCCTTTCATATCTCTGTGTTTACAATTCAACTTATAACATGAAGAGTAAAAGATAGTAAAAATTAAATATGTTCTGGAATCATATATACTACCTTATATAATGGGTAAAAGAAATGACATAAATAAAAAACTGAATAAATGAAACAATGCTCAGATGGAAGTTTAATATCCAAAATTAGATTTTAAAAAACTGTACATTTCTTTAGTATGGTTCATTTGAATTGTTAAGAATTTGTTTGGGGAATATACTTCACTGCAGTTTGTTGGCTATTTGTATTTTCTTCCCATTGATACATATTGTTCATATAATGTAAAAATTTGAGTTAATTTGTACAATCAAAAAACAAATTATTTTGTAAAAGTAAAAATAATAATTTTAGTTTAATTTCAACACAAAGAGCTGCATATAAAATCTAGAATTAAGCTTCAGCCCAGAGCTAGCATGGAAGACCACAGAGGGACTGGTAAAATGTTTTGCAGATATCTGCTTTAATACAACACAGATATATAAAGTCTTATATAGTTATCTAGAGCAGTGCTGGAGTAAGTGAAAATCTTCATGTCCTTCCCAAAATTATACCACTAGCATTTAAGAATAAGAAATATGTTTTAATAATGGTCTTGATAACTAAAGGGCATTCAAGGCATTTAATGTTTTACTTTTATTGTGGAAATTAGATTAAAAGAGATTCATTTGCATTTGACTCTCAACTTTTGAGTTTTCAAAAAAAGATTTTTAATGTCTATTTTCAGGTTGTTTCTTTTTTGTCCAGTATGGAGATGGTTAATATTTTTTGTAGAAAATATTAACCATCTCTATACTTTATTAGATGTTACAACCAAAATTGTCCAAAACTGTGACTTCACCTTTCTTGCTAAAGTAACTTATTGTTAGAAAATTATTTCCCTCAAGACTTCTAATTTCCATTTATTTACGCATACTATGCATTTATTTTTTTCTCTTTTACAGTGAATATTACTCTGCATCCTGAAAGAGCCAATAGTCATATCTTCCTGCATGGAGATTTGAAAAGCATGAATGTTGGATGTGAACCTCAAGAGAATCCCCATATCACTGCAACACCTGGATGTTTTCTTGCATGGGGTGCTCAGATTTTCACCGCTGGCAAATATTACTGGGAGGTTCAGGTAGGGAACTCTTGGAACTGGGCTTTTGGTGTCTGCAATGATTATTGGAAAGAGAATTGTTGGAATGACAAAAGAGATGAAGAGGATGGACTCTTTCTTCTTGGATGTGTTAAAGACAGTCACTGCGCTCTCTTTACCACCTCCCCACTTATGTTTCAATATGTACCAAGACCTACTAGCCGACTAGGAATATTTCTGGATTATGAAGGTAGAACTGTGAGCTTTGTTAACGTTGATCAAAGTTCCCTTATACATACCATCTCTAATTGCTCCTTCTCACCTTATATCTGGCCTATCTTTTGCTGTAGCCACGTTTGACTAGAGACAAATTAGAAATGTGTCTGTAGGGTGTCAGACCCACTTTATTTCAGGAAGCCCTTTTACTCATGTCTTATCAAAAGAACACATAGGTTGTAGTTCATTGAATTGCCTTCTAATGTCATTAGAATTTATTATGTTGCCATTAAATATGCTAAAAACACTAAAAACATATTTTTGTTCTTTATTCATTTTGGGAATGTCATCAACCACAATGGATAGTGTAGAATATAATATGTTTTCTGGCTGTCTTTATTTCTTTCACTGAGTAAAATAATAGATGAGAGAGGTGTCTGACTGAAGTCAAAATCAATGGAAAAGTGCAGAGATTTTGTGCTTAATTAAAAAGACTTGGACTTGATTTAGTGTTCCTATTGATTGTCTTTATCTAATTTTTTTTGTTTTTGTTTTTGCTCTGTCACCCAGGCTGGAGTGCAGTTGTGCAATCTTGGCTAACTGCAATTTGAATTAATATAGAATAATAATTTTCACTTTGTTGATTGTGTTGCCATTTAAAATTTCAAGTAAACTTGATTCTTAGTAGTAGCAATATGAATCTTGCTTTTGAGAAATAAATATATTTAGTAAAAAATGTAAGTCGAGCTAGGGGAAAGAAATATTGTATCAATAAAGACAACAGTAAGGGCTGCAGGTCCTGGAATCTGGCAGAGGCCAGGTAGGTAAAACACAGCAGCCCATCAGCCCACAGTTCTGCAATATACCAGGGCCTGAGTGAAAGCAGAGAGATTCCCTCTGAACCCTATGGCCTTACAGGTGTGGAAAGT